TCGTTCTTGTTACCAACTCACTTCATGGATATTCACTGGTAAACATTTTAGACCAAAAAGTCTGAATCTAAAGCAAATGTAGTTTATCAGTATAAAAGCGTGTAAAAAATGCATATACTCTAATTATTACCAATCTAACATGAACGGTACCATCGTTTAGTAGCTAATCAGGAACATTTACAAAACAAACAAAAGAAGAAAAAAAAAGACTATTTATTCCATAAATAATCAGAATATATTTTCCCAACGTTTCGCCTTTACGACTTCTTCAAGTTTCATACAAAACTGATCGTCGGAAAATAAATTCTTATCTTTTTCTTTTGTTTGTTTTGGAAATGACAAATGTTCTGCAGTTAGCACTACAAACTATCAACTATTAATCATCAACATTACCCTCAGAGCACAGGTAGACCATTGTGTAGTTTGTGCTTAATTATAAACAAACAAACAAACTCTCCTGCCTTCACCTTATGGAAATCTAAATGCACATGAGTGAATTACGCTATCTTGGCTAAAAGTGTTTTTCTTAGTGTTACTTATAACCTTGTTAATAGAAAGTAATAACAATAACCATTTTGCAACACTACTAACGAGCTAACAATACACTAGTAACCATATTCTATCATTACGAACACACTTAGTAAGTTGCTAAGTAACAACCCGCCCTCATATCACGTGCGGGTGTACGATTTCTTATGCGTAAGTACTATGTGATGAGCCTGCAGCTGTATCAGCTGGATAGTAATCCTGGTCTAGTATATTCTCTAGATCTAAGTTCTAATTACGATATAACCTTATGAAAGCAAAATTTTCAGTTCTATACATCTGACTCAAGTGTTCTGTGTTGGACAAAGCAATTTTATCATAGCAATCGGTGCCTAAGATGTGAGTCTCCTATGTGAAGACGAACGCTACCACTGCTGAAGTCTGGCACAGCTTTGCTCCAGCACTCTGTACTGAAAACAAGAACAATAAGTTGTATAATTTACCTTTGAATTGTTTTCAAACTAAGTGTGTGACCTATTGACATCTAAGGTGGTACTTGAAACAGTGCGATTTTTAAAATATGTCTTTCAAGGAAACAAAATGAGAGAAAAGAAGAAAATCTTATGTTGATAAAGATAAAGTTAGAAACAGTAATGCTGTATATGCGAAACAAGCCGTAGCCATTCATCCAGTCAAAGAAAAGGCTGCCACCCTGGCTAGATGGAAGAAAAACTATAGCAACGATCTCAGCAAAAGCCAGGAAATGTCGAGAGATGACTCTAAGAAAAGGTACGAGAAGGACGGGATGTACACTGTTGAGTAGTAAACAATCCCAAACACACTTCAAATAGCATGTAAACAAAACTTTATAAGCACTTTATGCACACTGTTGAGTAGTAAACAATCCCACTAAAAAGCCACCAAAGCACTTGAGAAAATCAGTAAAGTAAAAACAAAATGTCACAAAATCACGAATTTGTCAATCTGACTATCCGACTGACTGACGTTGTTGAAAAGGCATAACTCTCTCCTGCCTGCCTCCCAGCAGTATGTCTACTGTCTGCGGACTTACAACGCTAGAAACCGGGTTTCGATACCCGTGGTGGGCAAAAGTTCTTATAAAGTTTTATTTGCATGCTGTTTGAAGTATGTTTGGGATTGTTTACTACTCAACAGTGTACATAAAGTTCTTATAAAGTTTTCTTTACATGCTGTTTGCAGTGTGTTTGGGATTTTAATTTGTATTGCAGATATTGAACATCTGACCCATTCCTACTATAAGTACTGTACTTATGATAATTCTCATAGCACATGAAATGTGTCAGGGTTTTATGTATGTAGGTTGGGATTCTTCAACAGTAGGTGCCTGTGACTTGTTGGTTATAAATTCGAACAATAAATGGACAGCACGCAATCTACGTATTTTAAAATAATATATTCAAAACAAGTCAAACATATGTACAAGAATTATTTACACTATAGGATATCACATTGTATTGTTGCGTCAGCGAGTCACATGACCACCGTGACGCAACGTTTCTAGAACTATCATGTACTTTG